AATTTTTTATTTTTATTTTATTTATTTATTTACTTATTTATTTATTTAAATAAATTTTTATTGTTCATATTATTACAAATGTTCCTTCCTCCCCTTCCCCCCCACCCTCTGACCTTTCCCCACCCCCCATTGTCCTCATCCATAGGTGCACAGTTTATGTTCAGTCTCTTCCCACGTCTCCCTCTCCCCTTTTCCCCAAGAATCATCAGTTCACTCCCCTTCCATACCTCTGATTCTATTATATTCAACAGTTAATATTGTTCCTCAGATTTTTTTTTTTAATTCCCTTGGTTTTTAGATTCACTTGTTGACAGTTACGTATTTGTTGTTCATAGTTTTTACCTTTATTTACTTTCTCTTCCGAAAGAACCCCCTTCAGCAATTCATATAATTCTGGTTTGGTACTGATGAACTCCTTTAGCTTTTTTTTATTAGTGAAGCTCTTTATCTGACCTTCGATTCTGAGTGATAGCTTTGCTGGATAGATTATCTTTGGCTGTAGGTTCTTACTATTCATCACCTTGAATATTTCTTGCCATTCCCGTCTGGCCTGCATGGTTTCTGTTGAGAAATCAGCTGACAATCGTATGGGTGCTCCTTTATAGGTAACTACCTGCTTAGCTCTTGCTGCTTTTTATATTCTCTCTTTGTCTTTTGCTCTTGGAATCTTAATTATGATTTGTCTTGGTGTGGTCCTCTTTGGATTCCTTTTATTTGGAGTTCTGTGTGCTTCCTGAACTTGTAAGTCCAATTCTTTCCCCAGGTGGGGGAAGTTTTCTTTCACTATTTCTTTCAGTATGTTTTCAATGTCTTGCTCTCTCTCATCTTCTGGGACCCCCATAACTCTGATGTTGTATCGTTTGAAGTTGTCCCAGAGGTTTCTTACATCATCTTCAATTTTCTGGATTCTCTTGCCTTCTAGCTTCTGCAGAGGAGTGTCTTCTGGCTCTTTATGTTCCAAATCTTTGACTTGATTCTTGCGATCTTCCATTCTGTTTTTAGGACTCTGTATAATATTTTTTATTTCAGACTGTATTCTTTATTTCTTGTTGATCCCTTTTCATATCCTCATAAGTCTCATTTATTTTATCGGCCTTTTCTAGGAAACTCTTGAAAAACCTTATAAGTGTGGTTTTGAACTCTATATCCAGTCGCTTTTTGTCCTCCATTTCTTTCGTTTGTGATCTATTTGGTTTAGGCATTTCGCAGGCAGCTTTCCTGATGGGGCGGGGTTTCAGGGTGGAGCCTGCAGCCTTGGCTTCCGGCAGCCCCGCCCTATGCGGCTCCTGAGTCTCAGGGTCCTTCAGTGCTCGCTGCCGGCGCCTCTGAGAGAAAGGCGCCCTCGATCGCCTGCTGCCAAACAGTCTAGGCTCTCCCCCAATGGGCCCGGAACTGGGGTTCAGTTCAGTTGGAGGGGGGATTGGAGGTGGCGTTCAGAGCAGTCCGGAGCCCCGACTCCTTCCTGCCAGGGCAGTCCCGAGGCACAGCCGGCCGGCCCTTCTCTGCGCGCACTGGGCGCCACCGCCGCCGGGACCTCCTTTCGCCGCTCCCTGGGGTTCGCCTTTCAGCCCAGCTCCCTCTGGGTGAGCCTGGGTCCCCGGGGTCTGGCCTAGAACTGGGGTTCAGAGCAGTCGGGGGCCCAGCACAGTGGGAGTTTTATCTCCTTCCCGCCAGGGAACACCGCCAGGCACTCCGCCGCCCTCCTCTCCGGCTCTGTCCTCTCCGCGCGCTGCCGTACCTTAGGCTTTTCCAGCTCCTCCGCGCTTCCTTCTGGTTCTCTCCTTGCTTCTCGCTGTAGTTTTCCAGTCAGGCGACTTTCCTGTGGTTCTGGGTAATGTCCATTTTATATTTTAGTTGTATTTTATTGAAATTGTTGCGTGCGGCTGCGGCTAGGTGCCTACCCGAGCAGCCATCTTGGATTCTCCTGTTTTTAAAAATTTTTTTTAATGGCCCAGTAGTATTCCATATGTAAATGTATCACAGCTTTTTTTTTTTTTTTTTTAAATGTCTTTTCTCTTTTATTTTTAATTTTTAAATATATATATTTTTATTGACTTCAGAGGGTAAGGGAGAGGGAGAGAGAAACATCAATGAGGAGAGAGAATCAGTGCTCTCAGCTGCCTCCTGTATGCCCCACACTGGGGATGTGCCCACAACCAAGGTGCATGCCCTTGACTGGAATTGAACCTGGAACCCTCAGTCCGCAGGCTGATGGATGCACTGAGCCACACGGTTAGGGCCTGATGGGCACTCTGGCTGCTCCCACCTCTGCCACTCCCACAGCAGTCAGCGCCTGAGAACGGGGGGCACGGGCAACAGCCAGCTTCCTCTTTAACAGTGAATCCAGAAGCTTCCAAAGTCACTTCTTGTATCACTGTAGCTGCAGGGGAGCCTGAGAAATACTTTCTGTAGCCGGACAGCCATGGGTTCGGAGGAGCCTGGGGTTGTGTGACTACAGGGAGAGAGATAACGGCATCTATGCCACAGGAGCCCATTTAACTTACCTTCTAAGGAAGACTTAATTAAGATCTTGCTTAATGGTGGTTTTGCTTAATTCTTTTTTTTTTCTTTAATCCTCACTGAGGATATGTTTATTGATTTTTTTTTTTTTAGAGAGAGAGGAATTGGGGGAGGGGAGAGTGAGCTAGTGAGAGAAATATCGATGTGAGAGAGAATCCCCTAGCTAGGCACCCCGACCAGAGATTGAACCCACGACCTTTTTGTTGTACAGGACAATGCTCCAACCAGCTGAGCCCTACCTGGCTGAGGTGCTTAATTCTTAATTTTCGGGGTGGGGGGAGGTTGTTGAAAGATGCCCACCCACCAAGGGTGCGGCCCAGTTAAGCCATTTTGTCTGTGATCGGAGAGGGCGGCCTGCAGCCGGAGCTGGGTTTGTGTGGAGTAGTTTGCTGACACCTGGGCTATTTCTCCGAAGTCCCTTTCTTAGCTTGGGCTTCAGATCCTAACGAGGCGCTGCCGTCATAGCTCCCTGCCTTCCCACGGGGTCTGCAGGCCTGTTCAGGGTGATTTTGCCTTTTGGGGGCTCTTATGAAACTATGTATTTTCACCAACTCAAAAATCATTTGACTTTGATGGTATCCTAAGTATTCAGTAAATACTTTATTTAAGAGAGACTTTTAAACCTGATGAGATCTTATTCATTCACATTAAAATTTTTTAATTGATTAAAATTTTTTCTTTCTTTCTTTCTTTCTTTTTTTTTTTTAGAGAGAGAGGAAGGGAGAGGGAGAGAAACATTGATGTGAGAGCATAACCTCCATCAGCTGCCTCCTGCACAATCCCCGGATCGAGCCCACAACTGGGCATGTGTCCTGCCTGGGAATCGAACCAGCCACCTTCCAGTCATAGGCCAACACCTAGCCCACTGACCCAGTCTGTCTGGGGCCAGTCTGCCACATTTTTAGGCCGATACAGGTGTTGAAAGCGGTATCTTTTTGAATCGGGGCTCTCTCAGGTGGCGTTCACCGGTGCCTCCTGGCCCGCCATCCCCATGGCTGTGGATGGGGTTAAGCTGACGGAGCAGAGACATCACTGCCCGCTGCTGTCACCAGGGCAGCCAGTCTTGGCTGAGGGCAGGGTCTCTGCCCCTCCTCCTCTGAGGAACCCCTTTGTCTCAGGCGCCCACGGCTTCCTTAGCTTTGATCGCTGGGAGCGGCCTTTTCTTTCTCAAACGGGAGGGTCCTGTTTGCTTTTCGCCGGAGGCAAACACCTCTGACACCTCTGGCCCCGAGGAGCCCGTGGCAGGCCACTGCTTTGATCAGAGCACCCAGCTCCGCTTGGTGGAGTTTGCATGGTCTGTGGCTCCGGACCCGCTTCTAGAAAAAGGAAATGCACTTGGGAGAGGAAGTGGGTGGGAAACTTGATCGGGGACGTGTGTATATTGTTCTCTGCTGCTTCCTGTCCATCTCCGGGCTTTGTTTACCTCCAGCTTTTCTGGGCTTGTGATCGGCTCCTTTTACACTAAGTGCTGGCGAGAGGGGGGAGGCTCTGCCTGCCACTCCTGCAGCTGCCGGTCGGCGTTGGAGCACCTGATGCTGGGCGGGTGTCCCCTGGCGAGCATCTCTGCTCTCTGCCTGCTGTGGGCTCAGGACAGAGATGGTTCTAGCCTCATGCAGGAGGTGGCACTGTTCCCTCTCAGTTCCCATCCACCCTCATGTGAGGAGTCCGCTGACCACTGTGTTGACACAACAAGCCTATAAGATCATGGGGATTGGTCCTTCATTTCTCCCCGATTTACGAGGGAGGAGACAGGCCTGCGAGTGCTGAGACTGGCCTGAGGACACCCAGCGACGATTTGGCTGAGTTTGACCCACACCCAGGTCCTCGCACTCCAGAGCCAGGCTCCGGACCCCAGGGCTCCCGGTCTGCGTGTCCCAGTCCCACATTCTTGTATGAAAACCGGAGGGCTTCAAGGACAGCCTGGTAGTCTGCTGTCGTCTCCCGGCCCCTGGCGGTGGAGGTGGGAGCTGGGCCAGCTGAGCTCCGTGGGGGAGGCCTGCGGTCTCCGCTCAGGAAGCACTGGGGGAGCTTGTGTGAAGCTGGTTCGAGGCCCGCTCAGGACCCCGCGGTTTTTTGCACTCCGGGGAGCTGCCTTGTAGCGGGTGTGATTCCCGCTTTGAGAAAAGCTGGTCTGCGGGCTCCGTGGTGGATCCCTGCATATGTGGACTTGCTGTTGACTCCGATTTCTGTTACTGAAGGGCAGGTGGATGTTTTCCAGGGCCTGGGGATGGCTCTTTCCCCCTCCAGTGCCTTGAAAGGCAGTGGAGACGTGAGCCTGAAAGGAGAGGGTCAGAGTTAGAGTCTGTAAGCCCTGCTGTTGGGCTGAAATGAGAGGCTCCGCAGCACAGCTTTGATGTAAGAATGGGGGAGGGGGGGGCACGGGGAGATGAGGAGGGGGCGCCGAAGGGGAAAACGAAGCACCTTCTTAGTTTAAGAAGACACACCGGGCCTCTCTCTTTCCTCCTCCCACTTCCCCTCAGATTGTGAAGTGGTCAGACTGTTGTTTGCCGCTAGCCTGCAGACCTGGGGACCCTCACCAGCTGATCGCCAAAGCCAGCGTGGATGACTTCAGCAAGCTGGGGGCGGCGTTCATGGAAGACAGACTCCAGATGGCTAATGGGCTGATACCCCAAAAGATTGTTTGTAAGTAACTTTAAATACTTTTATTTTAATGTATATATTTAACATATTTTTGTTGATTTCAGAGAGGGAGAGAGAGATCAAACATCAGTGATGAGAGATAATCATTGATCAGCTGCCTTCTGCACGCCCCACACTGGGGATCAAGCCTGCAACCCAGGCATGTGCCCTTGACAGGAATTGAACCCAGGATCCTTCAGTCCACAGTCGACACTCTATCCTTTGAACCCAACCAGCTAAGGCTAACACACACACACACACACACACACGAGGCCCCATGCATGAAAATTCATGCACTGGGGTGGGTCCCTCCGTCCAGCCTGCCCCCTCTCACAGTCTGGGAGCCCTCAAGGGATTTGTGTAAATCACTGGCTTTCCCCGTTTGCCACGTGCATGTGCCGAATCCCGCGTCAGGTGCATAGCAGGCGCTCCGGCCTGGATTTCGAATCAGTGATTGTACGTGATGTTCCCAGCCTGAGAGCAGACACTGGACCCTTCTTCCGGCCGAGTCTGGGGAGCGCCTGGGGGTGGCCTTTCCCGGCGTGTGCATGGACAGAGTGGAGAGGGACACCAGGAAACTGAGCCTGGAAGTCAGCGGCCAGATGACCGCTCAGAATCTCACTGTCTCCCCTTGTCAGCGGGGGAGTCCGAGGCTTTCCGATTCAGAGGGGCTGTGGAGACTCGGGTTTCACCGGAGACCATCCAGGGCCCCTCCTGGCAGGAGGGAGGACTTATCTGGCTCCAAAGGACACCGCAGAGTTAGGGGGGTGGCCGGGGGTGCCCAGGAACCCGAGTCAGGGAACACAGGGAGCACATGGGGTTCTGAACGCAGCGGCAGGACAGAGAGCTGACTGAGTGTCTTTTCTGCCCCTGGTCAGCGGTGCACCTTCAGGACTCCACTCTGCAGGAGCTTAAGGACCAGGCCACCGAACCAGCCCTCACCCTGCAGCCGGGCCCCGAGTCTGCCGTCCAGGGCGAGCCTGACCCACTGCAGGACTCCACGCTGCAGGAGCTTAAGGACCAGGCCACCGAGCCAGCCCTCAGCCTGCAGCCGGGCCCCGAGTCTGCCGTCCAGGGCGAGCCTGACCCGGGCGCCATGGAGCACGCTGGCAAAGATGACCAGAAGGTCCTCGGTGCAGAACCCCCGCCGGGGCGAGGCGGCGCCTCCGGGCACGAGGCCGCCGGGGAGAGCAACCAGGCAGAGTGCTGCACCGAGCTCTGCGGCCTCCACCTGTCCAGCTGCCACGAGTGCCTGGAGCTGGAGAACAGCACCATCGAGTCCATCCGGTGCGCCTCTGCCGAGGACATCCCGGATCTGCCCTACGATGCCGGCGGCGGCGGGCATGGCGTGGCCGATGCCGGCCGCCCCGAGGGAGAAGCGGGGAGCACCAACCTCACCGGGAAGGCCCCCAACATCCTCCTCTACGTGGGCTCCGATGCCCAGGAGGCCCCGGGCCGGCTGCAGCAGGTCCGGTCCGTCCTGGCCGACTGCGTGGACCCCGACGGCTACACGCTGTACCACCTGCCGGAGGAGAGCGCACGCCGGGACCCGTGGCCGGACAACTGCGTGCTGCTGGTGGTCGCCGGCGGGGAGCCGGTCCCTGAGGCCGTGCACCGGCGGTTCCTGGCCTACCTGGCCCAGGGCGGGAAGGTGCTGGGCCTGGCCTCATCCTTCGTGCCGGCCGGCTGCCAGCTGGCCAGCAGGGCGGCGCTGCAGGGCACGGTGCAGAGCCTGGTCTTCTCCGGGGCCAGCGGGAGCCCGGTGCAGCTCAGCGTCCTGGGCAGCGGCCGCGTGTACGAGCAGGGCCCCGGGGAGCCGCCCCGCCCCGGCCAGCTCCACGGCCGCCTGGACGGCGAGGACCAGGACCTGCTGATCGTGCACGTGCCCGTGGGAGCGTGCGGCGGGGAGGCCGTGCTCTGCCAGGTAGGCGGCGGGGCCTGGGTGGCCTTTGGGGACCTCGGGTGGAGACCGTGCCTGCAGGGCTGTGCTCTGGCAGGCCTGAGAGTCCGCGCCCGGCTTCGGACCTGCGGCTGGGAGTGTCCCCTGATGTGAGGAGACGGGTTAGATCAGGGCTTTTCTGATGCGTGAGTATCTGGTCTCATCGGAATACTCGCAATGGGGGAACATTATTTATTTCAGAGAGAGAGAGGGAGAGAGGGAGAGAGGCAGGAACATCAGTGACAAGAGAGAATCATTGACCGGCTGCCTCCTGCACCCCCCACGCTGGGGATGGTGTCCACTACCAGAATTGAACCCGGGACCCTTCAGTTCCCAGGCTGATGCTCTATCCACTGAGCCAAACCAGCGAGGGTGGAATCTTTTTCTGGAGTTAGGGAACTGTTTCCTTTTTTGTTGTTTTAATTTTTAAAAATATGTTTTTATCGATTTCAGAGGGGAAAGAAAAGGGAGAGATAGAAACATCAGTGATGAGAGAGAATCATGGATCGGCTGCCTCCCGCATCCCCCTCACTCCCCCCTTACTGGGGAGCCCACAACCCGGGCCTGTGCCCTGACGGGGAATTGAACTGTGACCTCCTGGTTCGTAAGTCGACGCTCCACCACTGAGCCACCCCAGCCGGGCTGTTGTTTTAGTTTTGAATGCCGTCTCCCTTTTCAGCCCTCTGGAGTCCGCGTGGTTTTCTTACCAAACACTTTTCAAGGGGAGAGGGTTGTTTCTTTACCATTTTCCCCGCTCGCTGGCCTCTGAGAAGCATATAAAGGAGGAATCTGGACCTTGGGACAGATGAACTTGGGCAGCCAATCACGTTTCCTCCAGGCTGCAAACCACATGGATTTGTTTTCGGAGGCCTGATCCCTGCTCCTCTTACCTTTCTCTCTGCAAGTACGGTAACTATAGCAACTGCATTCCCAGAAAATCCACCCTAAGACCCGGCTTCCTCGGGCCGTATTTCCGTTTTGAAGAGCGGCCCTGGGGCGCAGGCGGGCAGGAAAATCGATTCGGCACTGTGGCGGCCGCTCCCCGGGCGGCACGGCGGGCCCGCTCGCCGCTCCGTCTACGCTGACCCTGCTGCCGTCGTAAAACTCAATACTGCGTGCGCGGGCCTAGGACAAAAGGCAATTCGATGCAGCTTCAAATCAGCCGGGGGATTAGTGTCATTTGTGGTCTCAGGCGGCTTCCCAGCCTCTGGGCCAGGGTCACCGCGCTCCCCTCGGCCTGTCACTGCCATAGCGAGACCAGCCAGTAAACATCCCGCAGGCTGGTCAGCTTCCTCCGTCCTGTTGGGTTTCACCGCCTTCATCTCTGCCATAAACCCGTAACGATGTAACCCAGTAAGGGGGCCCCACTTCAAGCGCAGCCACAGCTGCACCGCCGGTGGCGGCCGGGGTGGCGGCCCGGGTGCCCCGACCCTGTTGCCGTCCGTCACCGCGGGGAGGGGGTGACCGGCTGTGCCGGGCGGGGCTGCAGGGAGATGTGAGGCTGTGGATTTTGCTGGGATTAGAGCATCAGAGGGGCGAGGAGTTTGGCATGAAATCCAGATAAAACCTCTACCGTGGATTAAGAAAACCTTTGTCTGTATATCTACATCTACACAAACAGGGTGGGCAAAAGTAGGGTTTCAGTTGTGAGTACCCAAAACACAGAGTTTATTCTTGTATTATTCCTTAGTCATTATTGTGTTATATTCCATACAACCTACCTACTTTTGCCTCACCCTGTATACTTTATATTTGTGTGTGTGTGTATATATATATTAATATATATTTTATTGAATTTTTTTGCAGAGAGGAAGGGAGAGGGAGAGAGAGTTAGAAACATCGATGAGAGAGAAACATTGATCAGCTGCCTCCTGCACACCCCCTACTGGGGATGTGCCCACAACCAAGGTACATGCCCTTGACCGGAATTGAACCCGGGGCCTTTCAGTCCACAGGCCCACTCTCTATCCACTGAGCCAAACCGGTTCGGGCTATATTTTCTTGAGTATTAATTTTGTTTTAAAAATTTCAAATTTTCAGGTATGGTTGGCATATATTAGGTTTGGATATACAGGGTAGTGATGAGACATTCACATAACTTATGAACGATCACTCCAGTCAGCCTAGTGCCCAGCTGACACCGCACAGAAATGGAGTTTTTTCTTCGTTACCTCGTCATGGCAGCGTCTCGCCCACGGCTGTGGACATCGCTCGTGTCCTCTGTGGGGGGCTGTCCTGGGCCTGGTCGGGTGTTGGCTGCATCACCCACTGGATGAAGGGGGGCGTCCCCTCCCTCGGAACGCCCTGTCAGAATCCGCTCTGGAGGAGCTGTGGGTTCTGGAACGTTCCTCGGTAGGGAGACACAGACCGTTCTCACTGCGGAACAGCCTGGACCGAGCGCCTGATGTTTCTGATCTTACCTCAGGAAGGGGAAGGGGTGCAGGACAGGCCTTCCCCGGGTCCCCCCCCCGAGCCACACACCTGCCCGAGTTCCTGTAAACACACTCCCACGGGGACCAAGCGGACCGCCTTCCTGGCTGCTTCCCGGCAGTGACAGCCACCAGGCAGAGGGGGGCTTCCCGCCGGACCCTATGCGCCTCCCGGGGCCCGTGGCCACTCCACGTGGGTCCCAGCACGCCCGTATTTCTCAGTGTCGGTCCGTCACATACTGGTCACCAAGTTCAGTGACCTGCCCAAGCTCCCCAGACGGGTCAGCGGTGAGAGCTGGGACCTGAAAGAGTTGGATGACCGTCCTGGGTCCTGTGCCCCCCGGCCTCTCGGCCCAACAGCCACGGTGATCGTGGGCTCTTCGGAGTCTTCTTATTGCTTGGCGTTGCTCTTTACATGTGCAGGCTCAAAGGTGATATCATGTCGGTAATCAGAAGGGTTCACAGCCACGCTTTCACAAACGCTGGCAGGGACGCTGCTTTCGTGAATGTTCTTATGAAGTGGTGCTTCCCCCTCAGGTGCACCTGGAACTGCCTCCCGGCTCCTCCGTCGTGCAGACCGAGGAAGACTTCAACCTGCTCAAGTCCAGCAACGAGAGGCGGTACGAGGTCCTGAAGGAGATCCTGCGTGCCCTCGGCCTCCGCTGTGACGTACAGCGCGTTCCCGCCTTAACGCCGCTCCACCTGCTGCCAGCGACCGAGGTGAGTGCTCAGCAGGGGGGTGCACCCAGGTGCCCTTCTCAAAACGGTCGCCCTGGCCCGGGCTGGTGTGGCCCAGTGGGTAGAGCGTCGGCCTACGGACCAAAGGGTCCCGGGTTTGATTCCGGTCAAATGCACGTACCTTGGTTGCGGGCTCCTCTCCGGCACAGGCCCTCGTTGGGCTTGTGCAGGAGGCAACCAATCGCTGTGTCTCTCACATCAGTGTTCCTCTCTGTCTTTCCCTCTCTCTCCCACGCTCCCTGAAAGTCAATGGGAAAATATTCTCGGACAAGGATGAACCACAACAGCAACAAAAACGGCCAGCTCTGTGCTGACGCGTCCGTGGCAGTGGGCTTCCACCCCGATTTCCATTTCTGATCTTTCCATTTGGGCCTCTGAGCAATCCCAAAGATGTCCAAGGACAGCTGATGTATTTGGCATTTGCATCACAGGGAGGGAGGGAAGGCCGTTAGAATTTAGAGGGTGTTAAGTGTTAAAACTCTGGCCCTCCCCACGTTAAGGGGAAAAGGGCCAGTGTTCATGTGCCGGGAGGCCCTGGGAAACCACAGCGTATGCACGTGGGATTAAACATTATGCCGTTTGATTTGGACCTTTCTCCGCGAATCTCTGGCAGGAAAATTCCCCTTTTGCTTTGTTTCTGTGCTGACGCCTGCCACCTTGTGGCTGGTCCTAGCTGCGTCTCACAGGAGAGGGCCTGAGCCTGGCTTGCCTGTGGGGGTTTTCCTGGCCTGGCGTCTGCCTGCCTTGGATGCCATGGTTGGTACCCGGTGTGAGCAGGTTGCTAAGCCCACGCGAGGCTTCTGGCCAAGCTGTCAGTTTCTTACTCGTTGTGGCAGACTGTTTCGTGGGTCGATGTCTGTCGCCTTCCCTAAAGAGGGGAAGGGTGAGTTGAGTGACGTGGCCGTGCAGATTCAGCACACGCGTTCGAGCCCAGGTGAGTCTAAACCCCGCCATCACCCGCTTCCCCTAGGGAGAGGCACTCCCTCTCTCCTCCCCCAGCGTTCAGAGGCGGCGGCGCTCTCTGTGGGCTACTCTGTCCCGTGGCAAACTTCTGTGCAGAGCAGAGCAGAGCTGTGAGCCTCCGTGGAGAAGGCAGAACACCATCGGGGGCATTTAAGAGTAGGATGTTTTGTAGGAGAATTTGGGGACTAGATGAAATAGCGTACGTGGAAGTTCTGTGTAAAGAGTACAATTATTATTGTTATTATTTTAAAAATAGATTTCTTTATTGATTTCAGAGAGGAAGGGAGAGTGAGGGAGAGAGAGATAGAAACATCAGTGATGAGGGAGAATCATGGATCGTCTGTCTCCTATACGCCCCCTACTGGGGATTGAGCCACAACTTGGGCATGTACTCTAGGCCAGAATCAAACTGGACCCTTCAGTCCTCAAGCCAAAGCTCTATCCACTGAGCAAAACCGGCTAGGGCAAGAGTACAGTCATTAATATTGAGATTAGATTGTTGAGAGGTTAAGTCACCGGTGTCCAGTGTTTCTAACAAGTGACCAGTGATATAGATAATGATTTTAATTTAAAAATCAATAAAGCAGCAGGTGCTTTTCTTCCATCTAAGAACATTGTTTTATTAGAGGCCCAGTGCATGAATTCGTGCACCAATGGCGTTCCTCAGCCTGGCCTGCAGGATCGGGCCGAAACCTGCTCTCTAACATCTCCTGAGGTGTCCTGGATTGCAAGAGGGCTCAGGCCAGGCTGAGCGACCTCACCAGTGCACAGCCGGGGCCCTGGAGGAATGCGGGAGGTTGGCCAGCCAGGGAGGGACCAGGGGAGGGCTCCAGGCCTGTCCGGCCCGTCTTGCTCAGTCCTGATCGGCCGGACTCCAGCAGCAAGCTAACCTACCGGTCGAAGCGTCTGCCCCCTGGTGATCAGTGCACAATATAGTGAGCGGTTGAGTGGCCTTGGCATATTATTAACATATTACGCTTTGCTTGGTTGAACGGATGACTGGATGACCGGACACTTAGCGTATTAAGCTTCTATTATATAGGACTAGAGTTCTGATGCACGAAATTCTTGCAGCTGCCTCAGCTTGCCTCGGCCCTCAAAGCCACGGAGGCTTGCTTTGCCCTCACAACCCCGGTTTTGTCCGGAAGATCGTCCAGAAGGACATCTGTAAGGTCGTGTGGCTATCCAGGCTAATTAGCATATTGTGCTTTTAATGTTATAGATTGCATTTTCATTGCACAGTGTCCAGTCAGTTTGCACACTTTTTAATGGGTGCTCCTGAGAATTAATGGTATGACTTTTGTCTGCACCTGCATCTCAGGAAATCAGAGCTCACTGTCATTTATCTGTTTGGTGTGTTCCGTTGATAAGGCACTGCATAAATGGTCAACACTTGAATAAGAGGCAAGAAGCACCCCCTCCATCCATCCGGTAGTATAAAAATATCAAATCAAACTGGTCCTCAGAGCTCCCGCCTTGTCGACGACCCCCCTACAGACCTGCCACCTGCAGAAGGAACAGAGCCATGTGGACACAGGACAGACTCCTCCCTCCTTTCCTGGGCAGGGAGGGCTGAGGGGACGTGAGGAGGTGCCTGCCTTCCCCGGAGGCTCACGGCCAGGAGAAAGACAGACCAGGGCTTGCCCTTGACCGCGCTCCTGACCTTACCTGGGAGTTCTGACCGTGCTGGTGTCGGGACATGGGCCTCTAAACTCTCAGAGCAGTGGAGGAGAAGGGGACCCGGTTATCTTGCTGTGAGCAGAAGTTCGGGGCTCGTGGCTTTACCTGAGTCTCCCTTAGGGTGGATGTGACCTGAGATACCGAAGGCTTTGGATTGGACATGTGCTCACATGACAACATGCTGTATTTACACAGTGTGGTGCCCAGACACCCGCTCTTTATGGCGAACAGCGCGCAAGGTGCTTCCTCCTCTGGTCTTTCAGCTTCTTGCCACTGCCCGGGGGTGGGGGACCATGTGCCCCTGTGGATTGGTGGCCCCTGTCCACAAGCCATGGGCTCGCGATGCCTGAACCAGATTAAAGCACACGTTTGTTCTGCTGACACCTACACAGGTGCTGCACACAGACCTCAGGCCCGCCAGCCCCCGGACACAGCTGACTTCGGGCGAGGGTCTTATCCAGCAGTGCCCATGTCTCATCGAGTCTCCCCTTGTTCTGGTTGATCTTAGATGTCTCTTCTGTGGGCTGCTTTCCCTCCCACCTGCTTCCCTCTGAGTAGATTCACTTTGGGAGCCCGAGGAACTGAGCGAGGGAGTGCGTATCCTCGTTTCTTTTTCTTTTTAATATATTTTTATTGACTTTGTACAGAGAGGAAGAGAGAGGGATAGAGAGTTAGAAACATTGATGAAAGAATCATCGATCAGCTGCCTCTTGCACACCCCCTACTGGGGATGTGCCCGCAACCAAGGTACATGCCCTTGACCGGAGTCGAACCTGGGACCTTTCAGTCCGCAGGCCGGTGCTCTGTCCACTGAGCCACACCGGTTTCGTCAGTGTCCTCGTTTCTTAGTGTTTATTATTTTCTCCCCGAAGATTGGTCTCTGCTGTGGACGGGAAGGAAAGACTTCAGGGCTGCATAGTGTGTTTTCCTGGCACACACGTTCTGTACATGAGTGCCAAGGTGGCTGTTTGCCCGCCGAGATGGGCTTCTGGGGCGGCTGGGGGGTTCCTGCTCCTCTCTCGAGGCCGAGACGTTTCAGAACAGCTTCTGGGCGTGTGCTGGGGCTCAGTGTTTGTAGTGACGGATGGCAGGTTGGGACAAGAACGCTTTCCATCTGCTTTGCTTTCCTGCAGCCTTCTCAGTAGGCCTCACGGCTCCCCATGGAACCAAGCTGGCAGTGGAGAGGTCCCTGGCGTCCTGGCACCCTTCATCCCCTGCCTTCCCAGTCCCTGCCTGTGCAGGCCGCTTCCTGCTTCCTGTAAAATGCGCTGTGACCACACGGTGTCGCTGCTGAGCCAGGCTGCCTGGTGAACAGACACCCTGGCCCCACAAAGTATATACTTTTCTCCCTCCACATCGCAGTCTGGCTCCACAGAGTAATTTAGTAGTTTTCCATGATGCTGGCGCACTTCCTCCTGGGCCCGTGAGATTATTTCAGGGTCACAGTTCATAATATTCATCTTCCATTCACCGTGGACTGTGTACAGGGTGCCGTTCCAGGATGGAATATGAAAGAACCAAACACACACACCGGCTATCTAAACAGAGTTCCTGCGTGCCAGCTGTGTTTACACAGTGTGGTGCCCAGACGCCCGCTCTTTATGGCGAACAGCGCGCAAGATTTACGAGGCACCTCGTGCTTCCACACGCCTGCGATGTGAATGAGAGAGGCCGGCACGGGATCCGAGCAGAAAAATAGGCCCGGAGTGCAGTTGGCCCTCGGTACTTGCCAGGAGTGTGTTCCGAGACCCTCAGCGACACCCAAACGCCACAGAACAGTGCGATTTCCGCTGTAAAATCCAGCCAGCATGGCTTTGCGGTGTCACCGGGCGTGATCAGACCGGGCAGCCAGCTCCTGGGGGGCAGACGCCTGGTGGCCGAGCGTACCTCCTCTCTGACCCGGTCTCGCTGGTTCCCCGAACCTCCCGGGGGCGGGATTGAAATTCGGGCCTCAGCGAATTTATGATCTGTCAAAGTAAACCAGTAAAACACATGAGCACATGCACACCCCACACGTATACCCACAGAAAAAAGACTGGAAGGAAATACAGTACATATATGGTGTATTTTTGGGTGATGGGCTAAGAGCGATTTTTAATAAGCTTTTAACACATTTGTTGTATTTTTCAAATTTTCTGCAATGCACCTGTATTGTTTTTATAAAGAGCAATCCCAGTTATTAAAAATTAAAAACCAAATTACTCTATGTCAGTAGACTTTGGAGGCATTCCATAAATGTCCACACTTGGAGAAGAGGCGAGAAGTCCCATATCACCCTGGCTGGCTTGGCTTCCTGGATAGAGCGGCGGCCTTCGGGGACTGAAGGGTCCGGGTTTGAT